ATTCTGCACTGAATTAAAAAAAATTGAGTGTGAAGGATATTCGTTCGCATCGTGACAGTGACCTTTACCGCAATTCTGCGAAAATTAATACAGTATAAATAGATAAGATATGCATGGTCATTTCGAAGTCCACCCAATAGAATGACCGACTCATGCAGTTGTGGAATCAACTGAAGCATTCGTCCGACGAGGAAATCGATGTCATCATAAGTACGGCAGCCCAAGAACCCGTCCGCCAAGCCGCAGCTGTGCACTCACGATCATGGAGCGGGTCTCGTCGCGGTCGCCAGCCAAACTTGGATCGGAACTGGGCTGGTGGGCACCAGCAGATTGTCGACAACTACTTTGGAGAGAACGGGAAACCAACAAGTATTTCGTGTAGACTAGTTTGTATACCATACAGATCTCTTTATTAGATTAATTTGGCGCAGTGAAAACTCCGTACCGGTATAGAATGGTCAAGACTCAGGGCGCGGGGTTCTAAAACTCAGTTTCAGTGTCGAATTCAGTGTTGGGGTGGGGGTAAATTCAGGGTCAAAATATCATCGACACTGAGTAATATTCAGTTCAGTAAAATTTATGTCGCAGGAATGTGAACTCTTTATTTTCTACGTATTTCTACTAATGTGAATTCAAATAGATTCCTTGCTAAAGTATTTTCAATGGTTCGGAAAATAGATTCGGCTGAAAACTCGTTTCAATTTGTTCTATATATCAATTGCTTACAAATCACAATCGTCGGTAAAACGAGCATCTCGGAACATTAAAATATGCTCCGTGAATCATTTTTCACACCATACTCGCAGAATTTGTTAATTCGAATTAGTGGCGGAGCAATGGCTCTGAAAAAATGGACGCAAATTGGACCAAAACTGAAAATTGATGCACTATCTTACATTACGTTACTGTACGGGGATTTACGGAATGTACAGTAGTAATTCAAAGTTAATTATCCAAACACTCGAGTTTTCTGGCATCACTTCTGAGTTGACAAAGCCAAAATACTCCTTACTGTTAATTTAAACCTCTTGAAATAAAATCTCCGAAATGCACCAATCTCAAATCGATGTGGAGGTTCACAGGGTCCGACTGCACCTGCTTGAATAGTTGAGAATAGTATTTGGGGATGCGTTGGAGATGCTGTTAAAATATGCAAAAGTGAGGGAGTCGCATAAGGGCCTGTTCCAAGTAGATATTTTTAGCAAATGAAAAATTGGTTCCA